CGCCTGGGACAGGTGTGGGCGCCGTCCGGGCTGCTCCTCCGGGTCCCAGGCTCGGACCCACTTCCTAGCCAGCTCCCTGCTCCTGCACCTGGGAAAGCAGCAGATGCTGGCCAAGCACTTGGGACCCGTCACCCCCAGGGAAGACCCTGGCGGAGTTCTGGCTCCTGACTGAATCCTGGCGCAGCCCTGGCTGTTGTACGCATGTGGGCAGTGGACATGTAGGTGGGAGATCTTCACGCATACATACGCACCCGTGTGGATGTGTGCACGCGCAGGCAGCTAACGTGCACGTGGGTGGGGCTGCATGAATACACATTGCAAGCGCTTCACTCCCGAATCCTTCAGGCAGGTAGTTCCTGAGAATAGGGGAGTTACCTACGAAGCCAGTCTGGAAGTCCGACACTGGAACAGTACAGTCATAGCCAGTCCAGAGTCACGTGTTGCTAATTGTTCCAACTGTGTGTGTATGTGTTTTAAGACTTTTTGAAAGAGTTATAGAGAAGGAGAGACGCAGAAGCAGAGGCTGGGAAAGAGAGAGGGAGAGAAGGAAATATATCCACTGGTTCATTCCCCAAATGGGAACAAGCCAGGAGCTTCTTCCGGGTCTCCCATGCGCACAAGATTCCAAGGCTTTGGGCCGTCCTCGACTGCTTTCCCAGGCCCTAAGCAGGGAGCGTAGCTACCATCCTCTTCCTCCTGTTTTCTGGCTGTCTGCTGCCCAGTGTCCCCCTTTCACTGTTAGGTTTTCCCTGGGCCCCCAGGGGCACTCCCGCAGCTCAGCCCTGTGACTGGGAGCCGCCTTTGATCTGGGGGCAGCGCTCTGCGCTAGGAGAAGAACTAGAGAAAGACTACGGGAGGCCCCAGGATCCTTGAACTTGAGCTCCGTGCCCCCCTTTGGGAGGGGCCCACCTGCTCCTGGCTTTCCCTCCTGCTGCCTGCCCCTTTCCTCAGGAGGCCGAGGCCTCTGAGGACCCCTGCTTGGTGCAGGGCTGCCCCTTGTGGAGTCCCTCTGCCTGCCATGACCAGGCTTTGTAAGCGAGCCTCGGCTGGCTGGGGACGCACCCCTGTGGGACGTGGGTCCTGGTGTCTGGGATGCACCTGCTGGGACCCTGGCCGGCACAGCGTCTGTAAGGCACAGGCGTTACTCTATGTGAGAGACTCTGCGTCAGCAACAGACTGTCGCCAGGACCCGCTGTGCCCGGAGGGCTGCCCCAGCCCCACACTCTGACAGACTTCACCTATTTTCCTGTTGACGGGCACCCTGTCTACTTAAATGCGCCAAGCTGCAGAAGCCATCGCCTCCGCTCTCGTCCTGATGGTCACGCTGTCCTCGGTGTGACTGGTCGGGAGCTCACTCCTTCAATTGCCTCCTGGGCTCGGGCTCGTTTTCACGTGCAGGGCTGACCCCGCCCCAGGTTTCCCAGTAGCTGTATGCAGCGCAGTCACCAGGGGGCTGGGCTTCCCTCCATGGAGCTTAAACCGGCTGCTCAAAGCAACGCAACACACACATGCACACACGCACACACTTGCTCAAACCTGCAATGCCCACCGCTGCCCCTGAGCATGCCCACGCTGACACCTACTGAGCAGACAGGTTTCTGGGCGGATGCTCTCGTTCTGGGTTTCTTTGTTGTTGTTGATTTATTTATTTTTATTGAAAAGGCAGATTTACAGAGAGAACAAGAGACAGAGAAAGAAAGAGCTTCCATCTTCTGGTTCATTCCCCAAGTGGCTGCAACAGCCAAAGCTAAGCCGATCTGAAGCCAGGAGCCAGGAGCTTCCTCTGGGTCTCCCATGCGGGTGCAGGGTCCCAAGGCTTTGGGCCGGACTCGACTGCTTTCCCAGGCCACAAGCATGGAGCTGGATGGGAAGTGGAACCCCAGGACATGAACTGGTGCCCATGTGGGATGCCATACTTGAAGGGGGAGGACTGGTCAGTTGAGCCATTGCACCTTGTTTACTTGCCAACCTTGTTCCCCAACTGTATGTATTTTTTGCTTTATTTTTGACAATCTTTACATGGTTAATTAGGGCACAAAGACTCAAGGGCTACAGGAAAGTGGGTAAGACTATACTTTCCACATTCTCTCTCGTTTTTTCCTGTACCTGGGGTAAAGGGGGAGATAAAGGGAGAAACCCCACCCAACCTCCCCCCATCCCAGGTTCCTGATGAGGGGCATGCTCCAAGGGTCTTGCTCAAGCAGTTTTGATAATTCAACAGTTATGAATTGCTGCCAATCTCACCATTCCAAGCACGATGAAGTCACTGCAGAATCCACTGATTGACATAGTCCACCTTAGAGTCTCCGTTTGCCCAGTTTTTCACTGCCAACATATGGCTGAGGTAGTTGGTTGATTTATTCTGTCCTCTGTTGTGGTGCCAGGTGTCCTCTGCAGGTTCCTATGGACTGCCATGTCCTCCATGTGCACCTGGCTGTGCTGTCCACTGCTCCGTCTGAGCCTCGAGGAGGCTCGGCTCTGGCGTTTGCACTCTATGACAGACCATGGAACCTGCACTTCTCTGCATGGTTGGGGTTCTGAGTCCAGCAGTTCGATTTCCCCAGCTATGTTTATTATCCATTTGACCCTCGCTTCTCAGCCTCAGGGGCTGCCTGTGCTCCCATCAGTTTCAGGGGTGTCATCCCATGGTTTTGTTCCAGTGTTTCTCATCTAACTCTTGCTACTGGCATCTTGGAGCGTAGAGCACATTGGCCTGGTCCCGGCAGGAAAGCGTGCTGCGTGTTGCTCCCTCCCAGACCCTGCCTCCTCCTCGCCTCCTCTCCTCGCTGTTTGTTTTCCTTCCGGTCTCTCTCTTTTTGCAAAAACAAGCAGGTGCCCATGTGTATTCTTAGCTCTCTGCTTGCTTGCGGAGAAGGTGCCCTGCTGGATGCGCTTCTGTGCCCGGGCTGCTGCTTCACTTGGCAAGGCAGGCTGGCACCACTGCGACCACCCGGCCGCTTCACACAGGCCTCCCTCCTTCCCGCGGCACACGCCTCTCCTGGCTGTGCCCGTCGGCCCCCAACGTCACGGCATTTGTTTCCAAACAGCACTGCAGTGCAGGAGGGTGTATATATGAGTCTTTTCGTGGTTGCGGGGTGACTCTGCTGGACACGGCCAGGCCAGTTCACCACCCCCTCAAGGGCCAGGCTGTTTTGCATTTCCCCCCAGCTGTCCCACGTGCACGTGGCAGGCTCTCACTTGAGAGAAATGAGATCTTGTCTCCATTCTCCTCCACACCCCCTGACATCCAGGGAGGAAACGTTTACAAACCAAACATAGGATCCCCAACGGTGTCACCAAAGTGGAGACAAACGTGAGGAGATCCAGCCACAGCCACCGAGGCAGACCTGGGAAATCCAGGGGCTGGGGAGAAAACCAAGGGGCAGGGGCGCGGAGGCAGGGAGGGCCTGGGCGCGCAGAGCAGGCGGGAGAAGGCCGAGGTCCGGGCAGAGGCGCACGAGACCCCACATGGGCCCTGTCAGCTCGAAGGTCAGCGAGAAAAGTCCAGTCAAGTCATAAATATTTTCTAAGCTGTCTGCCTTTCCTGGGTCAAACACGCTTTCCTCACACATCTGGAGGAGCTGCTTTGTTCAGCCCTTCGGCGGCTGCTGGACACGTGGGCCACTCTTGCTGTAGGTGCAGGGCAGTGTCCGATTCTCTCAGGTGTCCCCTTGCTAGCGTGTGCCCAAGCATGTCCTGACCCTACCTGGAACTTGCTGAGGGACTGACATGCTACAGAGCACTGTTCTTCTTTGGGCTTTTTTCCCCTGGTCATCTGATTAGCGCTGGCCATCGTAAGCTGGACAGTAGCTGGAGCCTGTCGTCAGGCCGTCAGCTGCCCTCCACCTGCTGCGGGGCCACAGACGCTCACAGACGTGGTTCATTGCCGGACTCTGTGGGAAGTTGCTGGTAGGGATGGGTGGCAATAATCATTGTAGGAGTGACAGGGGGTGGGAGACACAGAAAGTGATCTGTCCACTGGTCCAGTCCCCAAAGGGCTGCAACAGCCAAGGGCTGGTGTAGGCGGGAACCAGGAGCCTGCAGCTTCATCTGGGTCCCCGTGGGCATGCAGGAGACCCAGGCAATGCCAGCAACGGCTTAGCCAGGTGTGCCATATCCCCAGCCACCTAGTGGGTCCATTTAAGGCAGGGGACTTCATCGCCCCTGAAATCACCGTTGAGGGAGAGTGCACCTGGGGTACAGCTCCACCTTGGGCATGGGTCTCCGAGTCATGTCCTGCTGTGAGGTCTGAACGGGGCCAGTGCAGTGCCTGGCAGGGACCCATGGCTGGGCAGGTCCTGCTGTGATGACTGGTCACCGTCCACTCAGCCATGGAGCTCCTCAGGCTCCAGGTCTCCCTCCAGGCTGAGTGCCCCACCACCCAGCCCCCCCGATCCCTTCCTGGCTCCATCTGCCCTGAGCCTCCCAGGGCCTCCACATGCCCGTGGCCTGGGACCAGGCTGGCATCTCAGGTGCCCCTCAGCCTTGGCCATGCCCCCACCCCTCTTCTAGCTTCATTTCTCGTGGCCTATACTCATGCCACGGTGTGGTTCTGGACCGCCCGGCTCTCCCTCTGCCCTCTCTTCCTGGGTCTCACTCGTGCCCCAGGTGGGTCAGGGACACCCAGTTCACCTTCCCTGCTTGCACGGGAAGTTCCCACGGAGCGGGTGCTATGGAGGGAGTGGGGGCTGTTGATTTTCCTCTGGATTCTTCCACCGAGCTGGGTCCCCCCCTTCTGTTGCCCCAGGCGTCCCCTCTGTGTGCCCCTGGGCTGGTACCCCTTCTGATGTCCAGGCGTCCTTCTGTGCACCCCTGGGCTGGGTCCCCCTTCTGATGCCCCGGGGACCGCTCTGTGCACCCCCAGGCTGGGTCCCCCTTCTGATGTCCCAGGCGGCCCTTTGTGCACCCCTCCGGGTCCCCCTTCTGATGTCCAGGCGGCCCTCTGTGCACCCCTCCGGGTCCCCCTTCTGATGTCCAGGCGTCCCTTTGTGCACCCCCAGGCCTCTCCTTGGTGGTGGGCTTGGTTCTCTACATCTCCAGCATCAATGATGAAGTCATGAACAGGCCCAGCAGCTCCGAGCAGTACTTTCACTATCGCTATGGCTGGTCCTTCGCCTTCGCCGCCTCCTCCTTCCTGCTCAAAGAGGTGATGTGGCAGACTCGGGGCTCTGACCGGGCCGGGGTCGGTGGTGCTGATGGCTGGGATGGCTGGGTGCAGAAGGGGGAGGAGGCACGGGGTTGAGAAGGAGCGGGGCTGGGGGCGTGGGAGCTCCACTTCCTGGGGTCCTGAAGGCCCCCGTGGGCGTGCACTGACCTGGCCTCGCCACAGGGGGCCGGCGTGATGTCCGTGTACCTGTTCACCAAGCGTTACGCGGAGGAGGAGATGTACCGCCCGCATCCGGCCTTCTACCGGCCGCGCCTCAGCGACTGCTCCGACTACTCCGGCCAGTTCCTGCAGCCCGAGGCGTGGCGCCGCGGCCGCAGCCCCTCGGACATCTCCAGCGACGTGTCCATCCAGATGACGCAGAACTACCCTCCGGCCATCAAGTACCCGGACCACCTGCACATCTCCACCTCGCCCTGCTGAAGCCGCCCTGGGTGCCGCCCCCGGGGGTCTTTCTCCCTCTGCGCCCCTCTCCCACGGGAAGGAGGCTGCGCCAGCGGTAGGCTCCGCCCTGTATCCTGCCCCTCATTTCCACAGCCCCCCTCCGGCTCATCACTTCCTCTTTCCTTTGGCCTTTGCTCGCCCACTCCCTTCCCGCAGACCCCGCCTCCCCAGGCAGGCAGCTCCGCCCCGGTCCCCACGCGCTCCTTGCGCCCAGCTCCGAGCCCAGCGCCCTGCCCGGCCAGCGCCCTGCCCGCCCGGCCTCAGGGGCGCAGGGCAGGTGAGCAGGCCCCCGGCCACCGTCACCCTCCTCTCCCCTCTGCCTGGTTCCCTCTCTCCCTCTGAGCCATGGGGCCCTCCGGAGTTGTAACCCCCAGGAAGCCGTGGGCATGGTGGCCACCCCTCACCTGGCGCCCCCTTCTCTGGTCCCCCTGTCGTGGGGAGGAGGGACATTGTTCCTCTCTGATGGCCCCGACGTCCTGCCCTCCTGCCCCCTCTCCCCACGCCTCCCCAGCACCCAGTGCGTCCGGCCTCCCTTGCCCACCCCCTGCCCTGGCCCTGCCCACGCCTGTGCCCGCCTCTCCCCCCTCGAGACCCCGTCGGGGGAGGGAGGGGCAGTAGCGGGGGTCGACGCCCCCCCAACCTCTGTCTTCCATTTTCTGGCAGTTCTCCTCTAACTCCTCAACGTGCCCCTTTACCACCTCAACCCCCCACCTCTGGCCTCTCTCTAGGGTCGCCTGCCCCCCCCCCCCCAACAGCTTGGATAGACTGTGGGGAGGGGGGCGCGCAGGGTGAGGTCCCCTTGCGAGGGGAGGAGGGTGTGGGAGCACAGTGCTGTACACGGAACCAGAATGGCCCCCGGGGAGGGGGGTGGGGGGCGGGGCTTTTAGTTTGCGTCTCAGGTGGGAGGGGGGAGGGAACACGCAGTTAACCGTCTACGCAGCGATTTTTAACGAGGCTGGGGGGGGGGGGACGGGGGGCCTGGCTCTGTTATTTACCGTGTATCATATGTAAATACGAACAGAAGAAAAAAAAAACTTCAATAAACTTTATTTCAAACACGGCTGTACACCTGCACCCTGCGCTGAGGGAGGGCCTTGGCTCCAGGGACCGGGGCGAGGGTCAATGGTGGCCAGGGTTGGGGCATTGCAGGACAGCCCAGCACTGGACACCAGCTAGGCCAGGGTTGGGGCATTGCAGGACAGCCCAGCACTGGACACTGGCTAGGCCAGGGTTGGGGCATTGCAGGACAGCCCAGCACTGGACACCGGCTAGGCCAGGGTTGGGGCATTGCAGGACAGCCCAGCACTGGACACCGGCTAGGCCAGTGTTGGGACATTGCAGGACAGCCCAGCATTGGACACCAGCTAGGCCAGGGTTGGGGCATTGCAGGACAGCCCAGCATTGGACACTGGCTAACTCATGCCGACAGCCTGCATCTACTGGCCTGGCTATACAGGGACTGGGGGACTGAGAAGAAGGACCTCAGAGAGCAAGAAGTTGATTTGGCTGCAAAAGAAATGAGGGGGAGGTGCCCCCTTGGGATGCCGGCACCCCTTTTCCCAGTGCAGGGCCCTGCAGCTGCTTCCTGTCCAGCTCCCTGCCACCCACCTGGCAGACCCATGGCACCCCTGGCTTCTTCCTGGCTCAGCCGTGGATCTCTGGGGCAGTGAACCAGCGGGGGGGAGATTGACTCAGTCGCTCGGCCTTTCCAGTACATCTTTCCAGTTGTGTTTTCTAGGCACCTGTTGAAGGCCAGAGGTGGGACTGACAGACAGCAATGTCAAGGTCACACAAGTAGAGCTGAGCAGAACTGCGACAGGAGTCCAGCCATTGTACAGGCTGAGCCCTGCCCTCCACCCCCTCGCCAAGGTTCTGGGGGGCTCCCTGCCGTTGGCCCAGCAGCTGGGCAGTCTGCCTGTGGCTCCCTCAGGCAAGGGAGGGCAGTTCCTGGCTCTGTGACCACACACTGAGCTATGCTCTGGCAGGCCGAGCCACATCTGCACCCACAGCCACAGGTGCCTTTAGGAGTGTCTGGCCCACCCTCCCTGGACCCTCGCCAGCAGCCCATGCCCCCCATGACCCCCCTCATGGGGGCAGAAAGGTTCCCAGAGCCAGCTTCCCCACCTGCTGTGTTTTGCTGCTGCCAATTGGCTGTTGCAGACTCATGCTGTGACCTCCATCTCCTGGGCTTTGGGCTCTGGTTGTGTTGTTGTTTTGTTTGTTTTGTTTTGTGAGGTGGAAGGTTTGGAAGGGTTCCAAATCCCTCTGGGACGAGGAGAATCGGGGTGGGGGTTATGCCGGCAGGAAAGCATTGATATTCAGCAGGATCAACCTCCCAAAGGAAGGCTTGAAAGAGGCTGAGTCATTTTGGAGGATTCCAGGAAATTTCTGGAAGCCACGTATGCGATTTGGGATGCCTGGTCGTTCAGACACGCTGATTGGTCATGGCTGTCGGGAGCACAGTGTCAGGGGGCCATGCCCTTGACATCAGCAGTAATTCAGAACTGTCGGACTGTTGGAATCTCTCGAGCGGGCCCCTCAGAGCATGCCCCACATCGGGGACCCTGGGGTGGTGTCGGGTGGCTGGGTCCATGGACCCAGGGTGCAGAGGCGTTTGGGAAGCTGGGGGTGGCTTCTCTCTTTATCCTCTCGCTTCTCCCAATACAGGAAGGGGAAAAAGAGAACGTGGAAATGGTGATCTCACCCACCTTCGTGGAGCCCTTGACCCTTTTTACCCTAATCAACTATGTCAAAATCATCAAAAAAAGAGGTCATGTCCCAGTTGATTGGTGCTGCCTGCCCTGCGGATCGATTGGTGCTGTCTGCCTTGCCAGCGGCGCGGGCACAGTGCAGCAACTGCTCGTATCTGCTGACTTTCACCAGAATTTAACAACCGGAAGGCCCGAAGTTTGTGTTCTTTTCCTTTTTTTTTTTTTTTTTTAAGCTTCAGCTGGTCTGCTCTGTTTTGCTGTGTGCAGTTTGAGAAGGAATGAAACCTGCAGTTACAGCAGAGTTGCTTCAAACGGAGTGCTGTGGGAAGCCGGCGTGCTCTGACATCCAGGAGTCCTTTCCAGTTACTGGCTGTTAATGTGTAACTTCAGGAATTTGTTCTGCATATGCAAGCTGACATGCTGATTTGTTTATTTAAAACACAAAGTGATAGAGAAGAGAATCTTCCATCCGCTGATTCACTCTCCAAGCAGCCAGGACTGCACTGGGCTGAAGCCAGGAGCTGCTTCTGGGTCTGCCACCCGGGTGCAGGGGCCAGAGCACGTAGGCCATGGGCTCAGCATGGTGGGGAAGCAGTCGAGGACGGCCCAAAGCCTTGGGACCCTGCACCTGCGTGGGAGACCCAAAAGAAACTCCGGGCTTCAGCTCAGCTCAGCTCAGCTGTTGCAGCCACTTGGGGAGTGAACCAGCAAGCAGATGGAAGATCTCCCTGTCTCACCTTCTGTCTGAATCGGGTCCACCTTTCCAATAATAATAATAATAAAGCATTTGGGCCTGCTTTCTTAGGAACATTAGCAAGGAACTGGATGGGAAGTGGAACAGTTGGGATTCGAGCTGGTGTTCCCAGGGGATGCCAGTGCTGCTGGCAGAGGCCTAAGGTGCTGTGCCACCACAGCTGTCCCAGTGTTGATGTTCACAGTGTGTCTGCTGCGGCAGCACATATACTAAAATTGGAACGACACGCGGAGGGCAGCGATTTGGATAGTGTAAGCTGGGTTCCCGCCGCGAGCTTCAGCTTGCTGCTCTCCAGGGGCATTAGCAGGGAGCTGCATGGGAGGGCCCCGGACAGCAGCCGCGATGGCTCGCACGGCCGGACCCCTTCTGAGCACTGGGTACCTCCACTGACTTCCTGTCTCCTGGCCCAGCTCGGGGCTGTGGGTACAGGAAAGGGAAGAAGGCCACAGGTCCTTGGTGACTCCTTCCTCTTTCTCTGCCTCTCTCTAATTCTCAAATAAATGAATAAAAATTTTAATTATCAGAGCCAGCATTGTGGCATAAAGAATTAAGCTTCTGCCTACTACGCTGGTATTCCTTATGTGCTTGGGTTTGAGCCCCCGCCACTCCACTTCCCATCCAGCTCCCTGCTAGTGCTCCAGGGAGGTCAGAGGACGGTGGCCCCAGTGCATGGGCCCCTGCACCCATGTGGCAGATCCAGAGGGAGTGCCTGGCTTCATCCTGGCCCATGCCTGGCCATCGTAGCTATTTAAGGAGTGAACCAGCAAGTGGTAGGTCTCTTTCAATCTCCATTTTTGATGGTTACCATGGCTATGGAGATGGGCAGAGTTTGTGTTGGTCACTCGGCCCACCCGTCAGACCCAGAAGAGGCAGTATAGGTCCGGCATGTCATCTGGGCAACGGAGCCCTGGCAGACCAACGACGTGCTCGGGCTGGCAGTTCTCCTCGTAAGGACCAGAGTGGCACCACTCTGGTTCCACGTCAGATGGAGTATAGAAGCCTCCTGCACAGTTTGCGTGTCTTTTTCGCCCATGCCTTTTCATCCCCGTGGCTCCGTGTGCCTCTCTGCCTCTCCCTTGGGTCCCCGTGGCTCCGTGTGCCTCTCTGCCTCTCCCTTGGGTCCCCGGGGCTCCGTGTGCCTCTCTGCCTCTCCCTTGCGTCCCCGGGGCTCCGTGTGCCTCTCTGCCTCTCCCTTGCGTCCCCGGGGCTCCGTGTGCCTCTCTGCCTCTCCCTTGGGTCCCCGTGGCTCCGTGTGCCTCTCTGCCTCTCCCTTGCGTCTCCGTGGCTCCGTGTGCCTCTCTGCCTCTCCCTTGGGTGTAGAAAAGGGCAGAGTGGGCTTCCCCCCAATAAAAGCCTCTTGTCAACAGCTGACCGAGGCTTTTTTCTTTCCCTGGTGGTAGGTGAACCTTACATATTGGTTTCCTGACCAGAAAGAAGGGTCCTTAAGCCTTCTCCCACCACGGAGTTGAGGCCTCCCATCCCTGATCTCCAGCTGCTGGCTCCAAGAGACCTCTGCCTGCCAAGGACCAACAGATGCGAGGAAGGTAAGACTCTCCTCCTAGCCTCTCCTGTCCCGAGGGTCCTCCCCTCCATCTGGACCGTCCA